GTAATCTGAGTTTGGAGCCCTCACATCTACTTTTGTCATTCTTATCCAAATGGAATAAAGCTGAATACTTTCAGATTTTCACTGAAACTTGGGACTGAGTAGGGAGTTCAGCCATTTACTTTTTCTATTAAAATCTTCAAGTTGAAACTTTGTGATCTCAAAGTGCTTTGTAAGTTTTAACCTTTTTGACAGCTACTGCTAAAATCAGTCACAGTAATTCTAAGATGTGAGCAGTACATAAAGAAGTATCTTTTCTGGCTATAGATTTGCTTTTTGTGCCTATATTCTTTTTGAGCCATTGTAACATGCCTCTGTTTTTGCAGTTGGTAAGTGTCTTCAGGACAATGCCTATGCCCATTTGTGATATGTTTATTTTTCTTTATATTTAGAGCAATATAAAGTGTCCATACACAGACTCTCGGCTCACAATTAATTATTTTGAATGTGGTAAGGCATAGGCACAATTAACCAACTAATTTCCATAATCAAGAAGTAACTTATAAACAAATACCAACCCCCATTCTGTGTGTTGGTCTGTGGGTCTGGGTTTATGATCTCTCTTGGAGCTGTACAGGTATATGGAGTGAGTGCCAAAGGAATTATATGAGTTAAGCAATGAACCCAGGCATTTATAGGAATGCAGAATATAGGCTTTATTCATGGATAGTGATGTACACGAGTGAAAAGATCTGAGTGGAAGATTATCAGTTTGTACGAAATGCGAGAGGAAGGCAAAGAAGAATTCTGCCACAATGAACAAAGGATATTGGCACTGTGATGAGGAGACAGCAGACACTGGAATGGCACTGGTCCTAAGCCTGAAGGCAAGGAAGGCTCTTAAGGAATTTAACCTCATATCTCAGTGTATGCTGAACACAACATTCAGAATGAAATCTGATCCATTTACAGAAGTACAGGTATCTGCACTGACCTTATCAGCACCCAAGGTAAAAAAAAGCTGATGAATTTTATAATTTACAGAAGCAATACAAGGAATTCCCAGACAAATCTGGTTTCACCAACAATACTTATTAATGTGAAAGGAGCGTTGAATTGGCTGGAGTAATATCTCAATTCAGAAACAGTGAAGAAAATGAAAGATGAGAGAGGCTAACAAATTTCTGCACAGCAACAACCTTGGGGTTAACAAACATTAGTTCAACAAGAAAGCCATGGAGGCGATGGATTTGACTGTAACCTGATATGTGAGCAAAGGACACGATAGATTTTTTACTTGTGAATCATTTGTGGAAATCCGGTATATTATTGTGTAGATTCTTCATGGCCAGTATTGGAACAGATTATGAGTTATTATTAGCATCAATGAGATTGATGCAGAGAATGATCAAAACACAGAACTTAGATCTTGGTACTAAGTGGACAAATTAAAAAATCAGACAGCATAGCTTTGCAGGAAAACATTGTATCTCCGCTGATGGATGAAATGAACACTGAAGAGACACAGAACAGTGTAAAAAATGGGATTATCAGAATAGCGGTCAAGGTGTTGGACTACATGGCCAAAATGAAGAAACCAAGATGGATAATGGATGAACTGCTGCAGTTGATAAGCTAGGAGGCTGAAGGAGAATAAAAAAGGGAGACTCAAATGTAAGAGCTGAGTACAATAGGTGGACCAGAGAGAAAATAAACAGAAAAGGAAGAGACAGAAACAACTGGATAAGTGAACAATGTAAAGAAGCAGAAGAATACACAAAGAGAAATGTGACACAAAGATTGTACTGCAAGATAAGAGAATTAAATGAGACATTTGAGTTGAAGATGTCAGTGTAGAAAGACAAGCGTGGGCAAATAATTGAGGACAAGCAAGCAAGGAATAAGCAATAAAATATTTTGAGGAGACATACAATGTGCAGAACATAGTCGAGAAGCTTCCCAATAGAAATGTGGGAAAGGAGATGATGAAATCCTTACAAGTAAAGATCTTTATAGAAAATTTGAAAAAGAAGAAGTTGCCAGGAAATGACAATATAACCTTAGAGTAGCTGCAAACAGGCAAGGAACATACAGTAAAAGCTATGTACTAGCTACTCAACAAGTTTTACAAACAAGCTCAAGTACTAAGTGAATAGAGGAAAGTGTTAATAGTCCAAATCTATAAGAAAAGAGATGAACATCTACAAGGACTACAGAGGAATTAGCTTATTGAGTGGGCCAAGGAAAATAGTTCACGAAGACATTGTGGGAGAAAATGAAGAGATAGATGGTAGTGGCACTTGCAGAGAATACGCTGGATTTAGACCAGGAGGAAATACAATAGATCAGCTATTTGTGATAAGACAAATCTCAGGGATGTATATAGAATACTGAACCTGCTACAATAATTTCATAGACTTCAAACAGGCTTTTGATAGCATCTGGAAGAAAGTGATATGGCAAGTTTTGAGAATGTATGGCATCACTGAGAAATTAATCAACCTGATAGAAAACATCTACAGCAAGTCGATAAGTACAATGAAAGTAGGCAAAAAGCTGATGGAATGGTTATGGTGACCATAAGGGTAAGACAAGGATACATGTTATTGCCAGATTGGGTTCAGCTCATTACTGGAAGAAGTAACAGCAGTAGCACTGAGAGATGAAATAGGAAGAGTCATATTATGTAGAAGACAGTGAATAACCTTAGATTTACAGATGATATTGACCACCTAATACTGACCAAGAGGGAATATACTGATGACAAGGTAGTCTAGGAAAACAGAAAATTTGGACCAGTGATTGGCATGGAGAAGATGCATGCTGATAATTAGAAGAAAAGATCAAGAAACAAAGACTGAAGTAACTGGGGCTGGGGAAGGGGGAAACTTTTACAAGAGAGAAAAGTTGTGTTTGAGTACTAATATAAAATAGTTTAGAAAATGTACTACTATAAAATGTTTGAGTACAATTTGTAAAAGAAAGGGAATTTCAAAGATGAAAAAAAGACAGGATTCACTTCTACTACATTTAAGAAGTCTGAAAAGCTTGGAAAGGAAAAAAAAATGTTGAGAGGGTCCATGTAACAGAGAACCCTTACCCTGTTAGGGAAAAGGGGAATGGGTTCTTTAAGGAAGAGTTTTTATGAACCAGACAAAAGCAGCTGGCAAGGCTGGGGTTAATAAACAGCCCTGCCGTCAGGTCAGCTGATAGGTCACCTGACTGAATGTGGGCAGGGCTTGAGTAACATATAAGCCTGGGACTGAACCAAGTTGGGGAGTTTAGCCCTGTAAGCCACTGGATGAAGAACTTCTGGCCAGGAAGATTGCAGGGGGATACTGGCTGACTTCAGGGCTGCTCTAAGGACTGCCACCAGAGTACTGGTGCCCTATGTCTTCCCAGGGTAAGGGGAAGTCTTTCTGCAGGACAGTGAGCTATTGTTGTCATTTGCTACACCTGGAGCAGGTTAAGTTTGTTACAGCCTGGGTGCTTTTTCCCTTTGAGTTTTTGACTGGTGGTTTGGGTGGGACTAGAAATGAGTGACTTGGAGGTCCCATTAGTGCCCAAGTGGCATGTGTTTGCCTTGAGCCCTGCTGGGATCAGGCGAAGCACAGACAGGAGTCAGGGAGCCCAGAGGCTGAGAAGGGGTAGAGATGAGCCCAGAGAGGGAAAATCTTGGGGGCCAGAGGGCCCAGAGCCCAAGAAGGACAGGGAGCCCAAGAAGGGGCAGAGATAGCCCAGAGGAAGCCAGGGCTTGTGGCCAGAGGGCTCAGAGCCCAAGAAGGGCAGATAGAGCCCAGAGAGGGCAGAACCTGGGGCCAGAAGGTCTGAAGCCTGAGAGGGGCAAAGATAAAGGCCCCCAAGGACAAGATGAGGGGCTGGAGCCCAGGTCTGGAACAGTGTGCGTTGGCTAAGGGATCGGCTAGAGTGGAGGGATGGAAGCTGGGAAGACCAAAGCCCCAACAAAGGAGTAAAGGCCAGAGGTGGCCTGGTGGCTTTGGAGATAAATGTCCCACTGACTGTGTGACATCTGTGAGACCTGGACATAGCTGTAGGAAAGGTATGGAGGCTGTGATTAGCCCATAAGCTGATGTGTATCTTGGGTCACATGTGGGCTAGGAAGACCCACTTAATGGGAGAGATTTGTGTAACCAATCGGAGAGAGGGGATCCTCTGGTGGGAGTTGACTAGGGCTTGCTATAAGACCTGTGGGCAGCCTGTCTTTTTCAGTCTCTTAATGGGGACAAGGTGTGGCAGGTGAGGAATTAAGGGAGAGTGTCTTAGAGATCAAACTGGGCAGGAACCACACGGCTACCAGGGGGTGTCACAATTTTATTACAGTCCTGAAAAGAGGACAACGCCGGTGAATGCTAATTGTAGTGCAAGGAGTAAAAAAGAGGAAGCCAAGTATGCTTTCAGTAGATATGATGAACAGTGACGTGGGACAAAAATACAATGATGCCATGAAGCTGGCACAGGATGGAAGGTGATGGAAGAACTTCCTTCAGGCTGATTCTTGCTGTTGAACTGAGGGATGGTGGGTAGTAATTAAAAAGCAAAGCAAAACAAAATAAAACAGAAAAAAATGCTGGTGTGTATTTCAGATTTCCTGCCTATCTTCAAAGGGCAGGTGAAATTACTGGGTTCTGTAGAATCACCCAAAAGTTGATATTTCTTGTTTATTTTGTGGTGGTTTGGAGGGTTGTCTAGTTCCTAGTGGAGTTTTCAGCCTCTCTTGGTGTTTTAAGACCTTCTTGTGGCAATCTTCCCAGAAGCTCTGAACATCATCTTTCAGTTTTCACAGTGCAGCTTGAGATAATCTTAGTAGGGACTGTGAAAACAGTTTTGTGCATTTTGTGAATCACTATCACATTTCTGCTTTCCCTGTTCTTGATGTGCTGTTGCTATTTCTTACCAAACTGGGGCTGTTGCTCACATAACATTCTTTTCAGTATATACTCATTGTTTTTAAAAGTGTGAGGGGAGGGAAGTTCCACTATCTGAAACTATAAATAGAATAGAGATTTTTATATTTCACCTAATGGAACAATTCTTAAGCAAGCCAGCAAGACTGTCTTAGATCTAGCTGAGAGTGCTCTTAATGCTGATGACACAGATACTGCAGCTAATTCATAATAAGTTTAAATACAGTTGTATGTGCTTGGATATCCTTAATGTTGTAAATGCCAAGTCCTTTACTTTCTCGTTATGTGTCACAAAATTCTAAGCTTCACAGATCCATGTAAACAATAGCCAAGGGCCCACTTGGTGACAAACCCTATATAATCTGGTGTTCCCAGGTGGTCTATGAGACCTTAAAGAGGTCAGATTATTTAGTATAAATGGAGGTGAAAGCCATTCTAAAAAAAATGTTGGTGACTACGCAGATCCACTTTATTCATATAGAATATGGTAAATGTGAGATCACCACTAAGCATCTGTCATTATCTGACTTTGCTTCTTATTACCTAACCAAATAGAATGTTAATAGACATTTTTTGGGAGCATTCCATCAGAGGTTCAAATGGAAGATTCAGCTAGCTTGGTAAATACTATATTGAGATCCTTTGTCAGAAATAGACCTTCAGCTTGGGTGTAAGTTTGCAAGAGTTCCCACAGAAATCTTCTGAATTTGAGCAGGAGTGGAGCTCCTTATAATTTGTGATATGCACTTCAGTCAATACTGTTGATATACCTTGCATGTGTTATTTCATACATTTCAGTTTTTGTATGCATGTTCAGAGAAAATGAAGAGTGACTATTATGACTGTGCAGAGGTTCGGTAGCCGATTCAATTCGGAGGAGATTAGACTTGATTTGGCGGCTGAATCTCTGAATATGAATCAAATTGGGAGGCCCATTAAAAGGTCTGAATTGAATTGGAAGCCTCCAAATTGATTTGGAGATTCAACCATACACTATACAGGAAGTGCTTGATGACACTGGACACAGCTGCCTCCAGCTGGAAAGTTTATTGTGGTGGGCAGAGAGGGGAGGGAAGGGATGTGGGGGGCAGATTGATGCCCCTACAGCAGGGGAGGGATTGGGGCTGGGGCTGGGACAAGATGCTCAGCCAGGGTGGGGGGGGTGCAGGACTCAGGGAGGAGGGCTCCCATCACTATACACCGCCATGCATCGCTGGTCCAGAAGCTGCTCCTTTGGTGGCTTATCTGGTGGCTCTTGCTGTCAGTCTGGGAGGGCCTGGGAATAGGCATGTGCCCCCGTATCTGTGCAGGGTAGGCTGGTCTGGGCTGTGCTCCAGGAGGCTAGCCCCAGCTGTCCACCACGGGGCTGCACTCTGTGGGATGAGTGGATCCAGGGCTGCACTCCGGGTGGCTAGCCATTGAGCTGTGCTCTGCAGGGTGGGTGGAGCCAGGGCTCCACTCTGGGCAGCTAGTCCCATCCAGAGCCTGGAGCACAACCCTGGCTCCATCTGCCCTGCAGAGTACTGCCCTGGCTCCACCTGCCTCACAGAGCGCAGTGGAGCAGGGGATATGGGGGCGCTGCAGTCACCCTAAAATTCCCCATGGCCCCTGCTGCTGGCCTTGCCCCGATCTGGGTGCATGCACCTGCACCTGCCCCCATACCCTGCCACTGCTTGCCCAGCTGGGGTGTAGCCACAGCTTGTCTGGGAGGTGCAGGGAGGCTGAAGCAGCTTCTGCTGCTGCATGCTGCTTGTCTGAGGCAGTGCAGCGGCACCATCCTGTGCCTCCCCACTGTGGCTGGGTGAGTGGTGGGAGGGCATAGCCCCGACTTCCAGTGCCTTCCACTGCCCATCCAGAGCACAGCCCAGCTCAGCCCGCCCCACGCAGATCTGGGGGTACACACCTGCTCCCATGCTTTCCTGGACTGGTGTCGAGAACTGCTGGAGGAACCACCAGAAGAGCAGTTCCTGAACTGGTGGCACGTGGCAGCTCATGGTGGCAGGAGCCCCCTTCCCCGAATCCCATGACCTGTACCCTGGCTTGGCAGCTTGTTCCAGCTTCAGCCCCAATCCCTCCCTTGCTGTGGGGGTTTTGATCTGCCCCACAACTTCCCTCCCCACTTCTGCCCATCACAACAGACTTACCAGCTGGAGGCAGCTGTATCCAGCATTGTTGAGGACTGCCTGTATAATCTATGGCTGAATCTCTTAATTGGCGCCAAATCTCCAAATCTGAATCAGCCAGATCAAATTGGGACAGGGATTTGAATCACCGAACCAAAAAATTGTCCCTCCAAATCAGCTGATTCCAAATCTGAAGCAAATACTTGCTGCTTTGTACAGGCCTACTGACTATGCAAAATATACAAAATTTATAAATGTGGACAATTTGAAGTTCCTTATTTATTTATAATTTATTTCTTAGTTCTTCTATTTTTACCTGTGTCAGCTCACTCAGGGCAAAAGTTGGTACATCAGTCTTATAGAGCTGCCCAGATATAAGTAAATGTCTAACTTGAGGTGTGAGCAAGTATTCTCGGGATACAGCTCATGTTTGGGTGACTTTGTGTAAGCTGCCTAAACCTGAGTTGGGATCCCATGCATGCAAGTGTTTGCTGAGGAGGCACAGGAAGTCAGGGGGAAGAGAGGCTGGCAGGTCTAAGGGGAGCTGGTGGGTCGGGGGGGGGTTGGCAGGTCCTTGTGGGGGGTGGTCAGGGGCTGGGGTAGGAAATAGACTGGTCAGATTGTGGCGGGGTGGGAGGGGGAACAGTACAGCCCTGAGGCTGTGGTGAGAGCTTGGACTGTGCTGTAAATGCATGCAGGCCTTCACCATGCTGAGTTAAACCTTGCTAGATTGGGTTAACCTTTTGCCAATCTAAAGTCAGTTCACCTCTAACGTCAACTAATTTTAGATCAGGCATACCATTTTTAGGGCAAACTAAGCCCTGTGAACACTTGCACACTGGTACATTTAGTTCTCCCTAACCTTGATGATGTAGGAAAGAATTCAGGGCCGAACTCAATCCAGTTTGGGATCTGAAAGTAGAAGTGTTATTGGAACTATTCAGAAAAAGCAAATGGGTAAACACAGAATGCCAACTTTTATAGTGGTGTTTTGGAGTAAAAACAGACTTCAGAGGAAAGCAGTGCTACTGATATAATCATCTCTGGTAGACTATATGTTGTTAAGTGATAGGTTGATGTAACACTCTTTTGCATTTCTTTAAATAACATAATTATAAATAAAAAGAAAAAAATCAGTTGTTCATAAAACATAAGGATTTTTTTTACTGATGCAGTGTGAGGAGTCTGCTACATGTAAGCAACCAAACTTATTTTTATCATTATTGCCACTTTTACTGTTCCTTGTAATAATGTACTTCTAAATTTACAGTCTTGAACCATCATTGGCATATAACACTGTATATGTAGTAATATATAACTAATTATTTGTGGTAAGTATTAGTACTGTGAATATAGCTTATCTGTGTTATAAAAGTGGCATTAATAACAAAATTCCATAAAAGTTAAACATATAGTATGATGATTCCAAAACAGTCTGAACATGTGGCATGCTACAGATATAGCTAAGATAATCACAAATGTGTGTGTATACAGGGGGAAGAGGACAGGTTTGTGCTTAGAATGCTTTCTGATGCATAAATACTAGCATTAAATAATGTTGAATACTTTGTTTCCTAAAAAGATTAGTAGCTCTTCTCTATGTGATAAATTGTATAAGAGTTATTGTTCACACCAGTCTTCATACTGTATTATTCAACGTTGCTTTAAATAAACAAGTACAAATTATGCTCAGCAAGCTGTTGGGAAAGCTTGGGGAAATCTAAGAGCTGAAGGGCCAATTTGTGCCCTGACTTACATCTTGTGCAGTAGCACTGAGTTTGCACTAGCTGGTTAGGATTTAAGACTGTGACAGGGTGCACGAAGCACCCTGCCACGAGCAGAACCAGGGAGAAGTAGGAGAGGGAAATTTACCTTGGGGAACTAGAGGAGCCGCGGCAAACCCTGATGCAATCTGGGTGAATGGAGATGCTGGCTGGGGCCGTGGCAGATCAAAGCCTGCCGCAGCAAACCCAGGCACTGGAAATCAACCAGAGAAAGAAGAGACTGTCGCAGGAAAAGAACAAAGAGAAAAAAAGAAGAACCACACTGTCAAGCAAAGGGGGAACAGATGAGTTGGGTAGGCAGCCATTAGAGAACTGCCATGTGGGACCCAGCTGAAAGGAGAGAGATTTAAAGGATGCTGAGGGAGGCAGAAGAAGCAAGGGAGAAGGAAGAAGGAGAGGAGAAGAGAGAGCAAGCAGGTAAGGGAGCTCTTACAGAAGACCCCAGGGTAAGCTCCAGCCTTACTTACCAGGCAAGGTCTGGCTGGGAGCAAGAGTCAGCGAAGAAGTCTGAGCGACCGGTGAGTCTGAATCCTGGGGGTGAAGAGAACCGCTCCGGGGACCTAGAAGAAGAGGAAAGCAAAGTGGACCTTTACTCTTCCAGAGGGGAGAGGAGAAGAGAGAGAGGACCCTGGCCACAAGAAGGTGACAAGGAGGGAACCTGAGGAAGAGGGACCTGTCTTGGGACCCATGCAGGGCAAAACAGGGCAAGCAGGCACTTAGACCCGGGCTGTAGATATGAGCCTTCGGGTCAAGCTAATAACAAACCTTAGCGGCAGTCAACATTGCCCAGAACATTAGGTGTGGTGAGGGCAGGGGATGGGGATGGTGGAGCCCTGTGAAGAGCTGCAGAAGGTCTGAGTCTCTAACCATTCTCTGTTGCCTCCCAGTAGTGGCTAAGCATTATCTCCCATAACATAAAAGGCGTGGCAGGTGATTTATTATAATGAGCAACTACTGTTACAGCGGGGAGGTGATGTGACTCCAGGCGGAGCTAAAAACACCCTTACAAAGACAGTATATCATTTACTCTGCAGAGTTCACTGTTAGCTTGACCTGACCCTTTTTTCTGGACATAAGTTCCTGTTCCCGTGATGGTCATAGAAAGAGGGGTGGCAGTGGTCACATTTTCTATCCCCCTGCTCCAAAGTAGGGTAAATTTATACCTAAACTATTTCTGGGTGATGTTTTTTTCCAACCTGTGATTCTGTACCTGGATATATCAGTTTACAATAAGCAGCTTTCCCCCCTGTTTTTTTCTATTTCTTGTTTTTAGCTGTGTTAAAACTGTTGTGTCTGTGCTTTAGGTCTGAAATTTTAGTTGAAACTCATATTATTAAAAAAAATAAGGCAAGAGCACAATTGCTGGAGCTGGCTCACAAGGGTTCCACCTTCTTGGTTCTGGTCCTTGCATCATCACAGGATGTGAGAGCCAAGCTGCACCTGCAGCTGGACCTGATTGCCCTTGACGTTTTAGGCATGTTTGGGAGCAAGGATCATGGCATGCATGAGTTGGGGGAAAGCTTTGACACCATGGAAATTGAGAGCCAGGACCTGGAATCTGAGCTCATGCCTTCCACCTCATGGGAGCATACCCTGGTACCTGGTCCTGTACCCCATGGACCATAGCTGAGCATGCAGGCCCTGGGACTGTTCCCCACACAGCTGCTATGGGTGTTCCACTCCCACTCTTAATGTCTTGTTGCCCCACTTCCAGAATGCCTCCAG